TCTAGAGCAAATTTAGCTACCAAAGGTCTCGTTACCACACACATTTCATGGTATCTATTAATTTTTATCGACTTTGTTTGCTAAAAATCTACGTCAAATAAGTGCTTATTTCACTAGTAGAATATTGGTAAATAACAAGAGGTAGACAAGACAAGAAATTAACTAGTACGTACTAAATTCCAGAGTTCAAAACACAAGAAATGCACCAACACCTTGGAAATAAAACTTCAGACAACAACCTAATTAGACGAAATTATGACACCATGCAAACAATTTCAGAACCCACAATAAACATGAAAATACACTAATCAAGAAGACACTTAAAAAATAAAATAAAATTTCAAGGCAAAATGCCGCCGGCACCGGCTGCACCACCAACTCCGCCACCGATTCCGGCGCCTTTAAAACCCAGGCCACCAACTTTTCCAATCCCGCCGCCTAGACCTCCAACACCACCAGCACCTCCACCGGCTCCACCAACACCACCAAGAACTGGCAGCACAGGCAGTACCCCTGCAACGCCACCAACACCGGCACAGCCGCCCACGCCGCCGAAAGTGATGAAGTTTTTCTGATCATCAACGCCAGCAGCACCCACATTTTGTTTGTTTTCCACATGGGTTAGGGCGTTAGCATTAGGGTTCGTGTCTTTTGTTTCGGTAGGAATGTTTCTTGCAGTTGCATGCACAAGTACAAGCGCTAGTGCAAGAACAAATACTACGTACAATTTTTCCATCTCTCTCTCTCTCTATGTATGTATATATTTTCTCTCTATATCACATGCGCAAACACACAGAGAAGAAAGTGAGAATGAATGTAGAGAAAGAGGCGGTATTTAAGGGCATTTTAGAGGCTGAATTGGGTGGAAGACAGTTGAGAGAATTGATGGTGTATAGTAAATGTTGGCATTTAACTTCTGCTCAAACAGTCTCGATAGTAGCATTTCTATGATAACAGAAGAAGAGTGAATTATCGTCAACCCACTACAAAACAATGGGGAGTATAAGTATCTCGTTATAAACCGGGAAAAGAATCTCTTAATCAAGAAAGTGAAATAGAACATGAAATCATAAGCTCCCAAGCAGTGGAAGTAGTAGGGTATGTGACCGGGGCACTCATAAGGAGCGACAATTGGTTAAGGGAACCCGTCAGAGATGTAGCTAAAGCGAGTCTCAATTCCATTTATTTAATACTCTTTTGGTGTAATAGACATAAGAAATATCATGTCCAGTCTTTCTTTATTTTTTTCTATATGTGATAAATTCAAAAATCATTATACAATAATTCAGATATGGCAATAGAAAAGAAACAAGGGAAGTTTGTGATGATTTTTCTGATTTATCCATGACAAGGATCAAGTTTGGATGAAATTAAGTAGAGGTCTAAACCGGTTGATGTTAAAGATCAATAACATAAGAGTTGTGGTTAGGGGTGAAATATTACTCAAACTCAAAGCTAACTAGTTTAGAAGGAAATGTGCTAAAGCTTAATAAAACTGAATGGAACAATTTAAAAATAAGACATATTTTATCATGTCATATTAAGATGATGTTTGGTGAGGATTAAAATTAGGGCCCTGTCTGGAAGGGATTATTTATGCCAATTTAGTGCGTTTTGGACCGTTTTATTCAAATGTGTGGGGTCCACACAGAAACAAATTGGTCAAATTTAGTGGCTGAATCACTATTCCAACGGTTGAAATTCTGATTTTGAGTGTTCCCAGACATGTTCTAGATTTTTAGTAGATTGTGATAGAAGTTTTTGAAATGTGTGGTTGAAAAGTTGTGGACCCATAAAAGATGTGGTTAATATTTATTGTTTGATTTTGACTTGATTTTAATTCGGACCAAACATGGGCTAAATTGAGTTGAACATGATTAAAGAAGAGAGATATATAGAGATGTTTGAAATATAAATTGTCTGAGTGACTATCCAATGTAACATTAATGCCCATCACTCCACCTAACTTGATTTCAATGCCAGCCCATGCAGGCCATATTGCTTACACTTGTTAGGATTGTCGCATGCATGCATACTAAATGTTACTGTACACGGGTTTTTTTTTTTTTCCGATTTTGGGATACTTCTTTTCTATGGGAAATATTGGAGTTTGTTTTGTTATTAATTTGATATTACGAGTATAACTGGTAAAAATAGAAGAGAATATGATACGTAAAAGAATTATATTTTCATTTTGTTATTGAAAGGGACAATGAGATAAGATAACAATACAGTACTAATTTGAGTTACAATGCAATAAAGAATTACACTTCAATGCCTTTTACTGGATTCTGTGGCTAAGTGATGATGATGGTGAAGTGGTCACAATCGAGATAGGATAAGGCACTCGACTCTTGATTGCTATTTGATGTTTCCCATGACTTGGTTGGGTTGGTTCAACTCTGGGTGCATTTAATGGATCGGAATCAGTATTTTAATACTTGAAAATCACTCATTATACTTTGGGTAAATGGAACCATTCGATGTCCACGTAATTACTAAAATCAAAATCGAACCCGAACTTTCGATTTTGGTTTGGATTCGTTTCTACCTGAGGAAAGTTGTAGAGGTTTAAGAGTTGGTGGCATCACTTATTTCTCTGTCATTGGTTGTAGATATAGGACACAATCATGGTACATGTATATCAAATTTGACATCATGTAAGTTGGCAGCTTTTTATATATATTGATTTAACAATACTTTTTTCAATCATTGGCCAGATTTCCCTATACATAAGTGGATGTTAACAAGGAATGTACATAAAACATAACTCATATAGGACAAGAGAGATTGGATATAGACCAAAAAGAAATGGACGATGACCAAGGGATGAAGGATTGGTTTATACTAATACTATGTAGAGAATAAAATACGTGAAAGAAAATTGTCGTAGAACACATTCCAGCAAATTATAATTCCAAGAATTTTGTAGGAATGTATATGTTACGAATAGAGCTGCTTGAACAGGGTCACATATGAATTCCCAGCAACCGGTAACTTTCGATATCGGAAATTATGGTGGCAAACTTAATGCAAATATAGTCGAGGTGTGTAAAAAACAGTCCCAAAGTGGACGAAGCAACAATATTATTTTCTTTTCAATTCCTTCATTGGTTCAAATTTTTGTATTCTTAACGACATTTCATATGGTAATATACGTAAAAAAAAAAAAAAAAGGACTTGATTGAACTAAATAGAAAAATAAAGTGACCCAATTAAAAATATGTTATAAGTTGAGTGATCACTATTCCCATATTAGATCACGAAGAAAACTGCACTATTCCTCCTCAANCACAAAGAATGCATTTTTTTGTAGAAAAATGGTTACCAAACGGAGGCTAATTTGTATAAAAAATGGAACATCCTGTTTGAGCCACATTATTCTCCCAATAATGCATTTTAAATAGTGTTTTGATGGAATGTATGTGGTTAAAAAATAAGAATTTTTTTTTGAATTTACGTGTAATATTATTTTATTGAAAAATGTTTGGTTAAAAATAAGAGAGAAAAATGTATTTTAGAAGAATGAATATCAAACATGGTATAAATTGATATTACGAGTATCACTGGTAAAAATAGTAGAAAATGTATCGGAAAAGAATTATATTTTCATTTTGTTATTGAAACATTTATTAGAAGTATATATAGCCCCTGTATGGTTTGGATTAAAATTCAATTAAAATCTCAAGTCAAAATCAACAATTAATTTTAATCACACATGACATGAGACTTACAACTTTTCAACTATACATCTCATCAACATTTATCAAAATCTACAATGAGATAAGATAACAATGCAGTATTAATTTGGGTTACAATGCAATAAAGAATTACACTTCAATGCATTTTACTGGATTATGTGGCTAAGTGATGATGATGGTGATGATGATGATGAAGTGGTCACGATCGAGATAGGATAAGGCACTCGACTCTTGATTGCTATTTGATGTTTCCCATGAATTGGTTGGGTCGGTTCAACTTTGGGTGCATTTAATGGATCTGAATGAGTATTTTAATACTTGAAAATCACTCATTATACTTTGGTAAATGGAACCATTCGAGGTCCACGTAATTACTAAAATCAAAATCGAACCCGAACTTTCGATTTTGGTTTGGATTCGTTTCTACCCGAGGAAAGTTGTAGAGGTTTAAGAGTTGGTGGCATCACTTATTTCTCTGTTATTGGTTGTAGATATATGACACAATCATGCTATATGTATATCAAGTTTGACATCATGTAAGTTGTCAGCTTTTTGTACATTGATTTTAACAATGATTTTTCAATCATTGGCCAGATTTCCTTATACATAGGTGGATGTTAACAAGGAATGTACAGAAAACATAACTCATATAGGACAAGAGAGATTGGATATGGACCAAAAAGAAATGGACGATGACCAAGGGATGAAGGATTGGTTTATATTAATACTATGTAGAGAATAAAATACGTGAAAGAAAATTGTTGTAGAACACATTCCAGCAAATTATAATTCCAAGAATTTTGTAGGAATGTATATGTTACGAATAGAGCTGCTTGAACAGGGTCACGTATGAATTCCCAGCAACTGGTAACTTTCGATATCGGAAATTATGTTGGCAAACTTAATGCAAATATAGTCGAGGTGTGTAAATAACAGTCCCAAAGTGGACGAAGCAACAATATTATTTTCTTTTCAATTCCTTCATTGGTTCAAATTTTTGTATTCTTAACGACATTTCATATGGTAAAAAAAAAAAAAGACTTGATTGAACTAAATAGAAAAATAAAGTGACCCAATTAAAAATATGTTATAAGTTGAGTGATCACTATTCCCATATTAGATCACGGAGAAAACTGCACTATTCCTCCTCAA